TATCTTGACTTGTACCAAGCATTCATCTTGTCATCTGATAGTCTCTTCTCAAAATCTTACATGCTAGAAATTTCTAGTCCTGGTACATAGATGAGGAAACTACAGTCAACAGTTTTCAACCTTATCACATCAGAGATCATTTTTTCTTGGGTTGGAGAATGAGCAAATTCATCCTGTAGGAAGCTGTATTTGAGCTAAGATTAGAAGTGCAGACAGTATTGAAATTGGGATAGGTTTCAAGGCCAAAAGGATAATAGGAAAAATAATAAGCTCAAAGAACAAAGGAGTTGGGATAGTTTCAAGTGACAGTGACTAGATCCATTTGGCTAGATTGTAAAAAAGAATAAAAAAAGAAAGAGAGCTGTAGGAATTCAAGCTGGACAAATAAGCCAGATCATAAAGAGACCTTAATATCAGATTTACATAAATTTGGACTTGAACTTAAGAAACCAGTGCATAGGAGCTGATTCTATGTGGGGGTTGTGTACTAGGTGTGTACCACCAAGGTTAGAACCCATAGCCTTGCCTATGCTAGGCAAGTGCTCTATTATTCCAGCCCAAGGAGCTGAAATTTTAATCCTGCATTACATAATTGTTCAATAAAGCTTCCTTGTTACAAAGACTGTGAATTGGGAGATAAGTCACATAAGGTCCAGTCGTCAAGAACATAAAATCTCAGGGATATTTAAAGAAAGATTCTAAAAAGGTTTTAGCTGAACTTTAGTACTGTTTTGTGGCACGAATACAGTGTGAATGAAAAACCAGCAGAGCAAGGGAGAGAGGAAACCTGAGATGGCCTCACACTACAGTAGAAGGGATAAGAATGGGAATTCGGTTAGATGGAATGGCTGAGAGTGCTTTGGAAAACATTTCCTTTCTCACTGTAGTTCTGAAAATCTCCATCTTGTCTTTTCCCAGAAACTCTGAGGTCATCTCTGATGGAAAATGCTGAACTCAGAAGGGGAGAGATCCCTCAGAGAAGAGACCACTCTGTTCATTTCTACATCTGACCTGACATACTTTGAGTCAGCCTAGTACCTCACTGAGGTTCAGCGAGCCTCTAAAGCAAACAACATACCATCTAAAAACATGAACATGGCTAAGATTTTTGTGCTATTATTAGATAATTGCTAAGAAAAATATCTCAGTCTAACTTGCTCTTTTTTATTTAAACGGCTGTCAAACAGATTTCATATGAACAATTGGAAACTCCCACAGACTACAAGTTGCTAACCTTGGTTTTTTTTAAAGTGAAGATGAAAGAGGAAGATAGACAGTCAGAATAAATAGACATAAAACATGTTTTAGAGGCCTTTTTACATCCAAATAGTAAACCCCAAATGTTTCCATCTTTCTGTCACCTCTCAGTTTGTGTTAGAAGTTAGACATGCTTCAAAGCTGTGGCACAATCTGACAAGTTTGGAAAGACACTATCAGTCAGGCACTTCCAATTTTCAGAAGAAATAGCTAAGTGGTTATCATTTGCATGAGCAGAAAGATTGCACCTTCTTTCAAAGAAGACACTGAGCAAGGCAGACTTTTGCAGCAGCTTGCTTCCACTTCCACGGTAACAAATATGCTATGTGACATCCACATTCATGGCTTAAGGGATTCTGTGCAACCAATTTGGACTTTGAAAGGTGAAAATAACACTGTGTGATACTAATAAATTTCCCTTCTTATTTAATATTAATTACACAAAGTATTGTCTTTTCCCAAGTTTTATTTCACTTTATCAATCTCTGAAATGGCTGTGTTCTGCTCATTCAACCACTTGTCCTTCTAATCATGTTGATGGAGTCATTTATTTGCGTTTTACTATCAACGGGATGAGATAGAAGGGGGATAAAAGACGGCAAATGATTGCGGAAAGGGAGCCCGCGTGATAGAGTAGAAAGGGTGCTGTCAGCTCGGAGTTTCAAGTTCAAGGTTTGACTTTGTTACTTACTATATGACTTTAAGTGTCTTACTTCATCAAAGTCTTTATTTAAAAAAAACTGGCTTATATTAAGCTAAACTGTTTAATGTTTGAAGTTCTGATATAATGCTTTTATATTTAAAAACTTTCTGTAATATGAATAACACCCATTTGCATACATGTAGTGAATTCTGACAAAGGCTTTTTTTTTTTTTTTTTTTTTTGCTTAACTGTTCAGTCAGATTAAGCATGTTATTTAGTTTCCATACCCATGTGCATATGGGCAGTGCTAGAAGGTTAAAAAATGTTTTATAGTTAGAAGCCAAACGTCCTGGGAGACACACAGGTTCTACGACTCCTACTTCTGTGACATGTAGACATGTTATATAAGAATCCAGCACCTATTTCTGAAAGTTGAAATAAGAATTAAATTTATTAAACCATGCAAACGTCATGGTTTTGCCAGTGATAAGTAATATATACTTTTACTATTATTGCTATTGTTATAATTATTTATTCTGAAGATTGAATTCCAGTGTAAACATTTCTAAGAAAATAAGACACAGTTTAGCTGCAGAGTAGATTCTGAGAAGGTGTTGCCACTAAGTTTGCTGTGTAATCCTGGCCAGTCTTGTATATGTTGCCTCAGGCACTTCATCCATAAAGTGGTACAGCTAGCAAAGAGGCTGTCCAAATTCTTTGTACTCCAGTCGTCTAGGATTTCAGGAAATTTCTGTTCAGCTTTCCTGTAGGTTCCAGCTTTAATTAAAACTCATGTTTTCCAGAAGAGAACTATGTTGTTGTAATATCCAAAAATGTATTTGCTCTATTGGGTAGAGCAGTCTATTTGTATTGACCATTATTTAATTTCTTATTATTTAATTACTTCTTTAAAGTTTGTAAAAGAAGAAAAGGCTCACTCTTTCCCTTAATTAAGGCCTGAAAAAAAAAAATCACACCTTAACAATTCATTGAATTGGAATACAAAAGAAAACCTCTATCTCTTTTTGAGATTTCTATAAAATAAAAGTTGAAGGAGGTTGAGGAGAGAAAACAGATAGCCATGGTGCTCTGTAAGATCATTCTTTAACTCTGAAAAACAGGAAAGTTGAAGTCTGTACACAAGCATGAGAAGAAACTAAAAAGTTCACTGGAAGGCACGGATTTTATTAATCTTGTGATTTCTATGTCCTCCACTTTTTCTACCTACACTCTTCATCATTTTCAGGCCACCATTTTGCTAATCATTGTCTCCTTTCTTTTTTCACAGTAAACATGCCATCTGTCAATAAATACTACTGACTCATGAAAACATCCCAATCCAGCCATTTCTTACTTCCTTGGCTACCTTAGTCTAAACTACCATCATCCCCCTTTTGGAACCTGTGGTAGACTCAGATCCCTGCTTCCCTTTTATTCCATAGTCCCCTTTTCACAGAGATACTGTTATGATTGTCTTCGGTTGTGCCTCTCTCCCCATTTCTCCGCTCCCCCCTTTCTCTCTCTCTGTCCTCTTCTCCTTCCCCCCAAGTAATAAATATCCAATTTTATTCTTAACAATGTGTCTGTCCATGTGCCTCCTACCCACCCTGCCTGTTCACACTGCAGGGCTAGCTGGGACCAGCCACCCCACCATGTGTCTCCTTGCCTGGGACCAGCCACTGACTCGGGGACAGGCAGCCTGGGACTGGCTGCTCCTAGGGCCTGCTGCCTGCTGCCACATGGCCTGCTACCACTATTTGGGGACCTACAGCATTTCTGCTGCCTACTGCCACTGGGGATCTTGCAACATTTTTAAAAAATCATAACAGATACGTTGCCAGACAAACGTGCAATGTATCCAAAAGTAACAGATGCTATGAAAAAGAATTTTACTAAAATGTAAGCCAGATCATATTGTGCCGCTTTTGTTTTCAGAGTAAATCCCTAATTCATAAAAAAAATATTTAGGGTGTACACCTGACTCTGATGTTGTTTTTTACATTTTTCTCCATTAGGATGATTTTGGTTATTGAGGTATGCTCCTTCCAGAACTATTCTCTTTAGTACTTTTATAATGAAGGCATGTTGGATATTTCTTATATACATTAATTCAGTTTGGAAATATTTTAGTGAGTATTTTTGAGTTTATGTTCATCATGGATATTGTCATATAGTTTTCTTTTGAAGATTACCCTTACTGAATTTTGAAACTAGAGTAATACTGGCTTCCTAGATGAAATTGGAAAGTAAATTCTAACTCTGAATCTTTAGATTTAAGTATAAACCCTGAAGTAACCCCAGAAGTCAGGAAAGTAAAATAGGGACCATTTACTGAGGGTAGAGAAAATGTTCTAGAGCAGTGTTTCTTAATCTTCTTAATGCTGCTACCCTTTAATACTGTTTCTCATGCTGTAGTGACCCCTGATCATAAAAATATTCTCCCTGCTACTTCATAACTGTAATTTTGCTATTGTTATGAATTGTAATGTAAATATATGTGTTTTCTGATGATCTTAGGTGACCCATGTTAAAGGGTTGTTCAACCCTTTAAGGAGTGGTGACCCACAGGTTGAGAACTGCTGAGAGGGCGAGATAGATAGATAGATAGATAGATAGATAGATAGATAGATAGACAGACAGATAGATAGATAGATTCATGCATACAGACAGACAGGCAGAGAAAGAATAGTAGGGCATATGTAAAATGAAAAGGGAAAATGAAAAAAATGAGTGTGGTTACTTTAACTGGAGAACAAGGAAGAAAGGTACTATAAAGGAAGAAAAGATACACTGAGGAGATTTGAAAACGACATAGTGAAATGTATTATTTCATAAGCTTAGTTAAAACAAAATATATGAATAAATATTAATATAGATAGAGATATAGATGGTTTGGATAGACAGATAATGTTCATCTCAAGAACAATAGATTTAGTAAGGGAAATTTCCCTTTGAGTATTTCCTTATGGAAGACTCCCAAAGCAATGCAGACTACTGCTACTGCCCTTCATTGCCTCCCTGAACCTTAAGATAAGAGCTTATTAGGGAAGACACCATACACTTTGGACACAGGACTGGAAGGAAATGAGCTGGAACTCACCTGGAAGCCTCCCTGGAGAATAGTTTTTGCAGTATCCAAAGGCAGCATGCAAGCACAAAAGACAGAAAAGCAATCAATATTCCTACCTAGCTATAAAGCTTTTTGAACCACAACAGTGACTAGCCAGTAAAATATTCTTCATGGTACAATAGTGGGCCTATTATTTTTTCTCTTATTCCTTGAATTGTTTCACTTGTGGTTATCCCTTGCTTCCCTGGGAAAAGATTCAGTTATTTAGAGGTTTAAAACAAGCTTCTGTGTCAACTGAAGTCTTCAGAGCAGGAGAGTTACTCTTGTTCTGACCACCACCCTGGGTGTCTTTCCAGGACTCTCACCCCACACTTAAGACTCTTTAAATACCTTGAATTTAATTAATTACTTATATTACTTCAGACATCTCCAGTAAAAAACATATTCTCAGCAAGTACAATGACATAATCAAGAAACTGTGAAGAAACTAGTAATTAATTTGCCTGGAGTGCTAATGTTGAATAAATAGAAATAGACTACAACCTCTGGCTTCATTGTTTGAAATATCTATGAAGACCTATAACTAATTGCTTGAGTTCAGTCATGTCTCCATTTGTTTTCATAGGGATTAGAGGAAGCCACTGGCTGACCCATTCGCCTACCCTGACTCAGGAATTCTTTAAATAATGATATTTAAAATTTCATGTATACCCCATTTCTATATATCAGTATCATTATGCTACTTTTGTTTTGAAGTTCTTTGAAAGCTGTGACCACAGAACTCTCAGTTGGGTCTCCTTTAAAACAAAAACTGTACATCTTTCTTACATATGCTGGTGCTTGATGAAAAGTGGATGATTGACAGAGGCTTGTTTTTGTCCTGAGAAAAGACTTTAGGACCTCCCACTTACTAGCCAAGAAGTTTATCACTGAGCTAAATTCCAAATCTGATAAATTTCTTTTTAAAAAGTAACTTTATTGGTGACAATCTTTTAAAACCAGCTATTTGATCAAACAGGACCATCCATTTTTCCCAGTTACTAGCAGTTCAGTGACCATTAGTAGGGTACAGTAGTTGATTATGTATGACCTGATGCTAGCATGTTAATGAGGTCAAAGTTCACTACTCATCTAGGTCATTGCTTCCTGGATGAGATGTACATCACTAAAAGGGAGGCTACTTTAAATGAGTAGAAATATATCACTTCCCCATCTAGAAATACATATGTATCATAAAAAGTGAAAACATTTACTTTCTCTAGTGGACATTATATAAAACCATAATATTATGATTTTGGCTATCTTTATAAATTGAAAAAAATAAGTATAACTGGTGACTTTTCCAGCCTAGTTTGACTCTGTTACTTTTACACATTTTTTTTGTATTTAGCAGTCAAAATTATTCCTCACTCACTTCCTAATAATTAACTTCAAAATCTGTTAGCTGATACTTACACTCTTTCTAGACTTGAAATGGGTGACATTACTAGCTCTAACTGACAGCTAAGCTGGATAAAACTGATGCTTCTTCACCCAAACCAGATGAAATATTTTATCAGGGCTCTAAAACAAACCCTTGCTATTTAAACATATAAGGCATTCACATTTCTGGTACATGAAGGAAAGTTGCAAGGTATAACTCTACATTTCAAAATTCCCTATATTTCTTAGAATTGGCAATGAACAATTTGAAAAGAAAACCAAAATAAATTATATTCGTACTGAATAAAATATTGAGATAGAAATTTGACCAAAGAAATGCAAATTTTGTATTCTGAAAAATAAAAAAAGTTTTTGAATGAGGGTATAAACAGAATGCAAATTTATTCATCATAAGACTTGGGAGCAATAATCCCCAAATTTATTTGCATATTGGACACAGTCTCTATCAAGATTCTAGGTGGATCTGTGTAGGAACTGACAAGTTTATACCAAATAATATTCAAGGTTCAAGGGATCTCAAGAACCTAAGACAATATTGAAAACAGAGTTGGAAGGCTCATACCTAGTTTCAAAACTTAGTAAAAATGTACAGTAATCTAAATAATGTAGAAATTAAATGAGTAAGATATATAGACCAGTGAATACAGTTGAATGTCAAGAAATACATAACATTCCTGGTTAACGTATTTGTACAAAGAATTCTGAGACAGTTAAATGGGAAAGGACTGACGTATAAATTCCAAGAAAACTGGATACCTACATGCACAAAAATGGGACTGGACTTCTACTTCACAACATATATAAGAATTAAATCAATGATGATCTAGGGTCTAAATATAAGTAGCTAAAACTGGAAAACTCATAGAAGAAAACATAGGGATATATCTTTCTGTTTTAGATTAAGGAAAGCTTCTTAATATGAAACACTCAAAGAAAAATTCAAAATGAAAAAAGTGGATAAACTGAATTTTATCAAATTTTAAAATTTGTTCCTTCAGTGGGTTCTGTCAAGAAAGTTACAAATATCCACAAACCATAACCCATGAAAGGACTTTTCTCGAAACATGTTTTAAAGGACTCATAATGCAATGTCGAAAAGACAACCCAACTAAACATGAGCAACAGATATGCATAGACATTTTGATAAAAAAGATAAAAACAGACAAAAATACATAAAATATGTTGAATATTGTCCTTAGAAAAGTACACACTAAAATGACAGTGAGATGCTGTGTTACACTCACTCGAAAACAATAGTAACACCAATAATAATAATAATAATATGATGGGCCTGGAGAGACAGCTGAATTCTAAAGAGCACTTGCTATGCTTCTAGGTGATCTCTGATCCTGCACCTACATCAGGTGGCTCATAACCTTCTTCCATGTGATTTGATGCCCTCTTCTGGCCTCGATGCATAACCACACATGAGCATATATGCACACACAGACACATATACACAATAAAATAAAATAAAAATTGATAATAAGTGTTAGCAAGATATACCGAAAATATCGTGTTCATATAATTCTGTTTGGGTTCTAAAGTAATGTGGACACTTTTGAAACAGCTTGGCATATTCTTATATGATTAAAATCATAGTATTTCCATTACTAATTATTTACCCAAAATATCTGAAACCATATTTTCACAAAAAAAAATTGTACATGGGAGATGGAGAGACAGCTCCTTGTTTAGAAGCATTCGTTACTCTTGCAGAGGACCCTTGTTTGGTTTCTGCTACCCACATGGTGGCTCACAACCATCCATAATTCCATTTCCAGGGGAAAGAACCTAGTCACAAAAGAACTAGTATTGCATGGTTCTATTTATATGAAGTGGCAGAATGAGTAACTCCATAGAGACTAAGAGCAGATTAGAGTTGGGGGAGGGTAGAAGGGTGACTGCTACCAAGCACATAGGTTTTTGAGGGAGGTGAATAAAATGTTTTAAAACAGATTGTGATAATGGACCCATAATGCAGGAAGTACTATTATAAAGCACTGAAATAAGCACTTTACATAGGTGAATTATATGGATTGTGAATCATGTCTCAATTAAGCTGTTGTTGACAAAATAGAACTCTGGTACTACTACATAATCTAAGTTGGCAACATTATCTATTGACTAACAGCACTTTAATGTTATAAATTTATCTGAGTGAGGCATTCTCAACTCAGATGTGTCTGGAAGACTTGCAGCAGTCAGTGTGAGAGAGAAGAGCTACATCATTCATGAGTTTGCAAACCATAATCTGTGCCCTCTCAGCTCCGTGATGAAAACACTAAATGCTACCTTTACTGAGTTAACATCTAAAACTTTAGAGTCTGGCAAGAAGCTTCCAGAAGCTTTGTGTTCTACTTCAGAGAGGGTTCCCCAAACGGTCAACAGATACACAAAATGTAACTTTCAAATACTCTGACTATGAGCAAAAGAGTTAACAGAACATTAATCCTTTCTGGCTTACTTGAAGTTATGTGAGTATTAGCGAATAAACTGGAAAATACTGGATATGCATAAAAATGTACAATTATATACCACAAAGGACAGCAAAGGGGGGTAATTGTGTAATAATTCACAAGTCAGTATTTAAAAGTCAATGCTGTGTTTAGCATAAGGATAATGAATTTCACATAACTTGATGAAGTGTTGACAGTGTAACTGAAGGATAGTGATTTTCTAACTAATTTTTTTGTTTACCAATGATCATTTGCATGTTACCTGACCACCCTCACTGAAGATGAGTGCTGATCTAGACATATACAAAAGATGAATAGATACTGATCCAGACAGTTTTTGGGAAAGGGAGAGTATAATTATTCTCAGTGTCTTAGAGAATATCAATAGGGCCAACAGAGGGGAAAGGACACAGATTAAGATAGGCTGTGTAGATAGCTCAGTGCATAGGGCCCTGGATCCAAATCCCAGTATTACAAGGCAGTACCATATATATATGGTATATATATTATATTATATTATATTATATTATATTATATTATAGACAGACAGACGCAGATACAGACACACACATATACACTTTCATCCAGGATGGGGGCAAAATACTTTAGTAAATCTTCAATTTATGCAAGCTCTGTCACATGAGTTCCCCAACAACTGTTGATCCTTTCTCTAATCTCAAGGTAAAATATCCTGCTATGAGGCTATTCTTTCTACAGTTCCTTCTTGAGATCTATTCTTAAGAGAAGTACTGGGTTCATCTGATCTTCTACCTGGCACATTTTCATTAGAGAGATTCTTTAGGGGCATGCCACAGGTGCAATGAGGAAAACAAATCCTGAGAGGTAGAAAGAGTTTATATTTCAATGTCAAAGGCATGAAATGAGTGAAAAAAAATGAGAAATAGGCATAGGTAGCATTTGAGGAAGCTGCAGACAAAGAAAAAATGGCAGAGTTGGGGGCTGGGGAAAGATTTCCTTTTTATGCCCTTACAAACATCACAAAAGGTAATTTTTTGTTTGCTTTTCATTATTATTATTTTTCAGTATCCTGAGTTCAGATGTGATTATAGAGTCTCTTGCTTTGTTCCATCTAATCTGCATTCTCTTCCTTGCTTAAACAGAGCTCCAAATGAAAGCAATGATCATAATATCACCATAAATAATAATAATAAATTGTTCATGTTCAACCCAAGAATACCACCAAGAGTGGCCACTGTACGTGTACAAATCAGGAGATGAAAAAAAAATTGTTTTAAAAGGATTTATGTAAATCATATGAAAAAATTAAAACAGTGAGGGAAAAACAACAAAGAAAATTTAATGTGGCAGTAAATTCAATATATTATTTCCTAGTATCAGCTCAATGAATGAAACTCTGAAGTAAAATTAGCACTGCCAGGAAAGTACCCCAAACCAAATCTACAGTTGAAAATCTCTAAGCTGCATGGAAAACGTTTACTACTGACAATACCAAGCTGAGAGAGATAGCCTACACAAGAGGGTCCTGCCATGGCTGCATTCTGTGGTTACTTTCAAATGGGATGCCAACTGACTTGGCTATTTAACATCAGGTTCTGATGAGTGGCACTCAGGAAGAACTCACTGTATGTTTACTGACTATAGAGGACAGACACTCCTTCTCAAGTATATTGATTATGAAAGCTTAGAGGCAGAAATCATTGATCCTAAAGCAAAATTTTGCTTAAGAAAACATGCAACCCACTCCTTATATGACAGCTGGGAAAAATGCCTTGGTAACTAGGAAGGAGAATGTAGATGAAATGAGAAATGATAAAATCCCCTACTTAGAAAAAATAATAACAGGCAAAACTCACCAGTGCCAAAGCACTACTAAAATAATGCCTGTTGTGAATGCTAGAACAAAAAAGTAAAAAATGTTAATTTTCACTCTGCTTCTGAGTAATTTCTCAAAACCCCAATTCAAATTCTTGCATGGGCTCTTTAGGGATCTAATTTGTAAAGATCAATGTTTGCCACAGTATTGTGGTGCGAAGTTGTAGTCTTGTTTGATCTCCAAGAGAAAACAGAGCCATAAAATATCATCAGGCTTGTAAATATGACCTATTACTTTTATTTTTCCTTCTGTTCAAAACATATGCTAAACTAAGTAGAAAAAGAAAAAGAATAGGACTACCTTCAGCTTCTGCTTTCTGCTTGGTAGAAATGTTGCTGCTTCAGTTAAAAGTTAAAAAAGTTAAAAAAATCTTTCTCGTAGAACTAATAATGTTCATGATCACACACAATTGAAAAAAGGAGGAGCCCAAAAAGTTATGAGACGCTTCCAGAATTTTGAGGTTTGAAACTCATAATCAGCACACAATGCATGCCATCTAGAGGGAATGAGCTCTGGGCTTGCCTTTAAAAAGTCTTTGCCTTTCATCTAATTGTGCCTGCAAAGTCAGGGGGCAACAACAGAAAGTAATAAAGTATTTCCATTTTAGAGTTTGTTTGCATGCTGATTAGATCAGCTGATTAATTTTCAACAAAATGATTCAAATGACTTTTCTAGATCTTACAAATGGAGTTTGTCGACTCGACTCACTTAGACAGAACTTCATTGACTCTAGTAAATTCTCAGTAGTTGAGCTCAACAATTTAAAGAGTATCAATGAGGCTTCAAAGTATAATACTCATCCTAATAGAGAAGATATCCCTCCCATTAAGAACTGAGATAAAATCAGAATACTCACTATATAAATGCTAGGAAGTGTTTTTCTTCACCTGGTGGAAATTCAGGCTAAATTTTCAAAGCTACATTTTAAACAAACACAGAGAACTACTCCTTTCCTTCTTGTTAAGTGAGCAAGTTAGGATGGGGTATCCAGAAGACGGGATGGCTCAGGTGCCTAGCCTTAGCATCATGCTAAGTTAGGAAACACTTTAGACATTCCCACCAAAGAAAGTTTGTAGTAAAAGAGGGACTCTGTTCTTTAGTTGACAAGCCTAGAAATAATTAACCATACCAAGTAAATCTATTCTCATAAAATGAAGATATTTTATTCCACAGTGAAACTCATCACAAAAATAAACACTCTAACTTAACTGAAAAACTTTTAATGATATACAATGAATCTTTGAAAGTTCTGTAAGACAAACTTTAAAAACCAAATAGAATACAAACCTTGATAAGAAAAATATAATGAGGTACCTTCCTCCTCCATCCCCAGTATAAATTTCCAAGCACACTCAAGTCGCAGGGCATGGTTTACGGTTTTGTTTTGCTTGCAACACTTGTGAGTCAAAATCAAAACTGGTTAAATTATTCATTTAAGGTACATTCTTTTCTTTTAAGGTCGAATGCAAGCATGAGATAGAGACTTCTGATATGTCCTAATCTACACAGAAAATAAAACACTTTCCAAGGAGAAAACGCCCACACAATTACTCCCAACAGTCAACCAATGCTGAGAAATGCATGAGAGCAAAGTTTGCCCAGTGTTTACCACGAAAGCTACCCCATCTACCTGTTCTAAAAGTGCCCTGTTGAATTCTCTAAGCAGCCAGTTAAGTTGTTTCCAGGGAAGAAATTGCACTCTTTCACACCGGGGCCCTTAGCAACTAACTAGACGCGGCGGCTTTTCTTTCTCTGAGAATTTCTCTCTTTGAAGGATATGGGCCCGAAATTGGTTTTTGTTTTTGCTTTTTATTTTCCTTTTATTATGCCAAGACCGTGCACTGACAAGAGGGTGAATACTAACAGACCCAACTGGCCACGTTTTTGATCGTGTTTCTAGAACTTTGAGGAAAAAAGGGGGAAATAGTGAAGGACTTATGAGCGTCATTTCTGAAAATGGCTAATGCAATTGGATTTAAGTTTGGAAACATTAGTACTTGGAATATCAGAAAGATTTGAATGAGGGATTTAGACATTTGGGTGGTGGTGGGGGGAGTGTAGGGGAATCTCGAAGGGCACCAATTAGCACCCAGAAGCGCAACAAAGATTCCTGGACTTCGGTGGAACATTTCACAAGAGGACAGCCCCCAGGAGGGCTCCAGATGTAGGACAGTCCCTCCTATAGAACTGAACCGAGCTCTTTTAGAAGCCCTCGGAGTGTTCCCTTGGGCGGGATTGCCTAGATCCCCAAAACGCTAACTGCTGCTCTGTGCCCTTTGTCAAAAGTAGGCAATTTTAGGAGAAACTTACCGCATGTCCCCATAAGGTCCAGAGTAGTTCTCCATCCAAGGTCCCATCTCACTTTTGACGCAGCTGGAACTGGGATAGGGTACTCTGTTCACCACTCCAGTGGGGTACCACACTTCGGAGGCAGAGAAGTCACCCTCCTGACTCACCAGCCCCTGAGGGGGATGAGTGTAGCCATAGGGAACTACAGGCCCTGCCTCGCTCGGGCTGCTACTGCCACCCCCGCCGCCTGGCCCATATAATTGACCTTCTTCAGTTGTGAAGAGAGTGTGCCAGGAAGAAGAGGCGGTGGCTGGGGGCGATCCGGTGCTGGGTCCGACTGCACTCCCTCCGTGCAGGCTAGCCAAGTCTCCATAGCGGCATTGCGCCGCGGCCGCAGCAGCCCAGGCGCTGCCATAGTCCAGAGGGTTCTCCAGCTTGATGCGGGCGTGTGGATGGGTCGGGGGCTGGGGGTGCGGGGGCCCGGTCAGAGCCAGTGGAAAGTTGTAGTAGTCGCGATTCTGGTATGCTGCTGCCTCATCCACCACTCCGGATTTATACAGAGACAGAGTGAACGGGATCTCAAGTGTCCCAGAACTACCTGCTTCACCGCTGCCAGAACAGACCAAGCTCTCGCTTTCCAGCCCTCTGGCGTAACCTCCCTTGAAAGAGGAATACTCAGCAGTCTCTTCAGTGCCTTTGCCCGGGCCCTCGTCCAGGGGAAGACCTTTGCATTCGGCCAGTGGCGCACAAGGAGCAGGACGCACCACCGCGGGTGGACCTCCCAGGAGCGACGCGTACATGCAATCTCCCCGAAGCTGTTCCCCGGGACTCAGATGTTCCAATGCTTCCACACCCAGTCCCATGGACACAGACACTGCTTTACACAACTCCTTGGCACTGTCAGATATGGTCGAATTGCCCCCTAGGTAACTATCCTTGGAGGAAGAGGGAACCCCAGTGGCCTCCTTTGCTCTCACACTGGTGCCACTGCCTTCAGATATTACCTCCTGCTGCTGTTGCTGGTGCTGGTGCTGCTGCTGCTGCTGAAGAAGTTGCATGGTGCCGGCGTCGCTCAGGATGTCTTTAATGCCCGCGGAGCAGCTGCTTAAGCCTGGGAAAGTGGGGCCCAGCAGGGACAACGTGGATGGGGCAGCTGAGTCATCCTCATCTGGAGGAGCTGGTGGCTGCTGCAGCAGCCCCTTGCCAGGAGCTGTAGCAGTCCCAGGCTCTGGGAGGCAGCCGCTCTCAGGGTGGCCCTCGGAGGCTGAGTGCTGCTGTGAAGGTTGCTGTTCTTCCTCCAGGGCCAGGTAGCCTGTGGGGCCTCTGATGTGGGCTTGGGGAGAGCCATCCTGGCCAAGCTGTTGCCGCCTCCGCTGCTGGGGGCTAGTTTCTTGCTGCTGCTGCAAACAGGCACCGGGAGGTGCTGTGCTTGCGGCTTCAGGGTGCCTGGGGCCCGGGTTCTGGATAGCTTCGCGCACGTTCTGGAACAGATTCTGGAAAGCTCCTCGATAGGTTTTAGATGGGGGCCGTGGGTAGACCCTTCCCGGTCCTAACTGCACCTCCATCCTTGAGCTTGCCTGTATCTTCCACTGAATTCCCTTATCCTGCCTCCTTGTTTCTTGCTCTAAAGAGTTCAACTGACTGATGATGTAGTAGCTGCAGCTAGCTGCCCACCTGCGGGAAGCTCCAGGGAAGAAAACTTGCAGGAGGAAAAAAAAAGCGCACAGATAGTCTCAAAGTATCTTGTAAAGCAAGGCAAGCGCTAGACAGGATCTGCCCAGCTAGTTCCACAGTCTGTCCCTAAATACTTGAAGAACAGATTAAAAGATGTTCAAAGCTTGACGAGAGGAAAGGAAAATCCTCTCCTTGCAGATTCAGTGTCCACTGAAGCAGGTGCAAATAAGATTTGGCCTCTTTTCTTTTTGGCTTCTTTTAGCTTTTGTTTTGCTTTCGACTACTGAAGCCCTGATTGCCTTTTCATCTTTTGATTTTTAGCTCCCAACACAGGGTAAGGGGCTGGCAGGAGGAGGTGCAGGGAGAGAACCTGGAATCCGGGGTTCTCCGGGAGTGCTGTTGCTCCTCAGTCTCTGTGCTCCCAAAAGCCTTCCTTGCAACAAGCTCGCCTGCTCTCAGCCAAAGGGAGTTACCTCTGTGCAAACTGGCTGGCAGAGCTGGGGGTGTAGGGGAGAGGGTTGGCCAGGAAGCCTGCCTAGTCAGCTCCTGGAGAGGGGACCCAGGAGGGGGTAGGGGGTAGAGGGGAGGAGGAAAAGGCAGCAGTAGTCCTACCCGACACTTTCTTCACTTCCTCTGAGTCCCCCGCAGCTTTTACAAACTTCACCGAAGAGGAAAGGGCAGCAGTGGGGCGGCGGCTTCGAAGCCGCCGCGCTGCAACAGGCGTCGGCCGTCAGTGAGCTGGGGCTGGTGTGGTGTGTCTCTTCAGCTTCCGTATGGCACTGGAGTGTCTAGCTCAGTCTTTTCCCGTCTGATGCCCTCTCAGCCTCCAGGTTAGCTCCGGACCCTCCGGTTCTCCCAGCAGGCTGGCTCCCAGGGACTCTGAGGGGGCGCTGAGAGGTGGAAAGCGAACGCAACAGTTTGTGAGTCGGTCCCGCCCCCGCGGGCCGGCCTCCCTATCTTCCCACCTCCTTTCTCTCTCCCCTCCCCTCCCCTTTCCTTTCTCCCCTCCTCTCACCGCAAGCCAGCGCAGGGTGGCTTTAAAGTACGAAGTGCTTGTGTAGTATGGGTGAAGGCGGGAGTGACTCGCTGTAGCCTCCAAAGACCCTCCTTCCCCAAATACCCTTGTTTTTCGGGAGTCAGGTTTTGGGCTTCAGACTAGAAGCTTTAACTTGGAGTGATTTTTAACAGACAAGTCTACCGACTCTGTAGAAGGCTAGCACAGGCCGGATTTCATTCCTTCCTAAACCCAATCCCAAAACAGATTCTTGTAGTTGGGAGAAGGAGGAAGGGGCACTAGAAGTACCAGCTACCAGTAGCAGTTAGGGGTTCTTTCCAGGCGCTACCCAGACAAGCAGAAGGGGGAGTCCCAACAAATTACAGAACAAAAGGCAGCCAAGCTAACACTTGCTGAAACCTTTGAGACTCCCCAGTAAGGTAGATAGGAATTCTTGACACTATGCCATTTGCTCTGGGAACTCTGGGCCTAAGGAACCAAAGGTCATTTCTGGTTTATTTACTGCCCTTCTTCCTATTGGGAATTGCCTGTAACTGACGCTGTTCACTTCTCTTCTCCAAACTTGCAAAGGCAAAGCAAAACAAAATGAAAATCATTCAGACAAGTGTGCAAACCCAAATGTCAGAAACACTTGCCCTGCACAAATGCACCTTTGGATTTGTCCAAAGTTTTGTTTGTATAAAGATGCCTTGAGATTTCCAAATTGTTTGCTCCTGAATACCATCCTACATAGAGAAATTGCTACGGAGGGTTGATAGACAGGCGGAAGTGAAGGTGATGAACACTCCAAATGTACGGGCAAGTGAGCAATAGAAAGGTAGAGGGTAGACCTACACAGGTTTTCTTATAGACCGGCTGTAGATCCAACCCCCTTTCCTTTGAAAATAGCGTCTAACTCTGGATCTGGACAAGGTCTCTGTCCCAGAAGGCACAGGGAGTTTTTTTTTTTTTTTTGAAACATTGTAATTGGCTTTTTTTTTATTTTTGAGTTTTGTTTGTTAAGATTTTATCTCTCTTTGGAGACAGTTTTGTTTGTTTGTTTAACAACAGAAAAGTCTTGAACTCATGATCCTTCTGATCCAGCTTCCCAAATCCTGGGGCTGGTGGACACCACAATCCCACTTGATATTTCCACATATATAAGGTTGTAGGGTGAGGGTAAGGCGCTATCCTTTGTACTGAGAGATTCCTCTTGGCCAGATGAGTTAATTCAAACCTCAGCAGGGAAAAGAAGGGTAGATGATCAACTCCATGGCCCCTGTGAACAAGTGAGGCAAGGGCACTGTCAGACCTTTTCTACGAACAGAATGGAAAGCCGCTCTCCATTCTTTTGCTGCATTAGCTGTACTCTCAGCAGCCCCACAGCTCTTGAGAAATAGTCGAAATAGTCGTAAAGTAATCTCTTAGGACAAAATGACCTGGGAGTGCTTCCACCGTCCCAGGTGAAAAATTATCTGCTGAGATTGTACCAGTTGAGGCCTTGTTGCCCGTACTGTATTGTTTTTTCTTTCTTACTCTCATAAATCACTCCTTAAGGCAAAAATCAAAGTTGTTAAAAATTTGTCAAACTGAAAAATGGCTCATTTTCAGTCGTGTACTGCGCTGAAATGCACAGGTATTTTGAAGACTTTATTTGGATAGTCATGACAATTTCATATCTACCAAAGATTTTTCACTATTTTAACTACAGGGAATTGAATCAACTGGCAAAATGATAGAATGAAATAAACATGGGTCTCAGAGCCAAGAGAACTCTTTGTTTACAGATTGACAGTGAAAGAGGCCACTAATCATACAACTGAACGTTCACAAAAGAAAAGAGGGACGTTTGTAGAAAAGAGGCCAGAAAAAGTAATGTGAGAAAAACTTACCTTCCAGTAAGTGAATGAGCAACAAACATTCGAACCCAGGAATGAAATAGTCTGAAGTTTATGTTGCTTCCACAGCATCGAAGTTGTCTTTACAGATTTCCTCACAGAAAATTGAAGCTAAAATATCTCCCCTCAGAAGGCTGTGTGAGAGTGAAAAGAGATACATTGTGTTGCAAATAGGGAAGAATTCTGAAAGTTTGAAAGATGTCCTTTTACACACACACACACACACACACACACACACACACACACACTTATGGCTAAAAGCCAAAGGACTACGAAGGATGCCTGCATGTCTTTTGTTCCTTAGACTACACTCAACATGTCTCTTTTTACAAGGTCTTTCACTGGCCTAAAACTCTTTGCATAGGCTAAGCTGATTGGTCAATGAGTCTCAGAGATCTACTTGTCTCTGCCTCTGTGCTGTTGAGGTTCAAACTGTGCAGTGTCATTCCTTGGCTTTTTATTTCTATTTGTGCTAGGGGTCAAGCGCAAGCCCTCGTGCTTGCTACACAAGACCTTTCCAGATTGAGTTGTCTTCTCAATTTTTTTTTAAATTAACTTCTAAAGCAAAACAAACTCTCACCAATTATATTATCATGATGGGGAAAGTTATCTACTGTGATCATACTATGGACATTCCCATTATTTGAGCTTTGTACTCTGATCCCCAACTCAAATATTGGTTTACCAACTTTTCTTTTATGACCAAGAGACAACGACTGAAGAATATGATAGAAATTGGTACTTAAAAAATGTTTTTTCTCTTCTTTCATCCCACTCTTTTTTTCCCTTTGAAATAATTATAGCAGTTGACTAGAATTCATGGTGTTCTCCCAGATTCTTTGAATTCATAGTAAGTATCTCAAACAAATTCAGGGGGCTTTTAGAATGGAATTTTCCCTGGATGTTGCTCTGTAAAACTAGAACAAGACAACCTTTGGAATATGGCGATTATTTACATATTCTTATGAGTGTATGCTGATATATTTCACACATCTGTTTATTTTTCTTAATCTGACTGCTTCCAATACAGCTCAAGGCACTCTCATTCCCTACCTGAATATCTCTTCCTTTGAAAATCAGTCCTGCATTGATCAGGCAGATGGATCATATGTAGTTTTACACAACTAGAATTTACATGCAATGAACTGTATATATTTAAGGTTTTACAAATTGCTAACTTTTGAAACTTGTTAATATATCCATCTACAGATAAGAGTATCTCCATTCAAGACACCAAACTGATGTATATGCAGGCAATTTTGTGCTTATTTGTATTTCTCCCATGCTTCCCACTCAGGCAGTTGATGATTTTTTTTTCCTGTCAATGTAGATTAGTTTGCCTTTTCCCCCAGAAATTATATCAATGGAATCATAAAATATGTGCTTTTTAGTCTTTCATTTTTCACTAAGCATAATGTTTTGATATCCATCCAAACTCTTATATAGATTACTACATAATTCCTTCTTCTTTATTGTTAAGTAGTTTTCCATTGTGTTCTTGTATTACAATTATTTATCTGCTCACTTTTCAGAGAGACATTTATTCTTTCAGAATGGGGCTATGGCTAGTAAATATACTATAACCATTAATACAAAAATCTTCATCTGCACATATGATTTAACTTCTCTTAAATAAATAATACTCAGAAAACAATTGGGTGACCCACAGGGCAGTTATATGTTTACTTTTGTAAAAAGATATCAAGTTCTTCTAAAATAGTTACATCAATTTTCATTTCAAAATTTCATCAACACTTAATATGGTCAACATGTACTTAATACTAACATTTTACTCAAATGAGTAAAGGAGTTTGTCTAAATTTGCTTTTATCTAATTAATAATTATAAATGAGGGTTTATATTTGCTTATGCTTAATTTGTTTATTTTTATTTTAATTAAAATATACTTATATAAGTTCTCACCTTTCCTTCCTCCAAATCCCCATCCCACCTCTACTCACTTTCAAATCTATAGCCTATTTCTTTATGATTGTTACACACACACATACACACACTCTCTCTCTCTCCCTCTCTCTCTCTCTCTCTCTCTCTCTCTCTCTCTCTCTCTCTCTCACACACACA